GGGGGGGGGGGGGGGGGGGGGGGGGGGGGGGGGGGGGGGGGGGGGGGGGGGGGGGGGGGGGGGGGGGGGGGGGGGGCTCATATATATAAGAAATTACAATTTTTTTTTTTAAATCATCTGGAAGTAATTTGTGTAAAATAATAGTCCATAATGTTAATAAATATTTAAAAGAGAAGGAAAAAAGATAAAGGTTTGGAAACTTCTAAAGTATAATTTCGTATTTTAGCGAAAAGTGAAATGGTCTGTTTTTTTTGAGTGAAAATTAAAGAGAAAAAAGGTTTTGAAATTTCTCAAGTGGATCCTTTTTATGTGCTAAGTTATCACATCTATTACTCATAAAATCGAACTTTTTGGAATATTCTATTTAGAATAAACCATTACGTGTCGTGTCATACATCTATTACTCAAATTTCGATATTTTCTCAATACGAAAAAAATTTATATTTAAGCTAAATTACTTATTCATTTTTTATATAACAAAAAAAAAATAAATTGGAACCTTTTGAACGCTCTTGCCAAAGTATCATGGTTTCAAAACTCGCGATAATATTTATGGCGTGGCGTAGCAATTTTCTTGATCAAATACTAACCAATTTTCAATTTTTTTTTTTTGAACTCTTTGATACAGGTTCGATTGTTTAGTGCAATAACGATCCAATATTTCTTTTGCTCTAAATTTAGGTTTTTTTTTATTATTTAATATTTTATATTTTTTTTTTTTTTTTTTTTTTTTGCTTTTTTGGAAGTATAGGTAATTCAATTGGTTTTTTTAATCATTCTTTTTTTTTTTTGGACTCGAATGATTAATTAAATAGGCAAACATTTTTCCCATTTGCTTCGATTTCTATTTTCTATTTCTTTTTATTATTTGATTAGTAGGTAAGTGTTTTCTAATTGATTCTATTTTGTATTTTTTTATAACTTTATTCATTTATTTATATTTTTTCTTATCAGGTCTCCTCTTTCGGGTTGTGTCCATCGATTGATTTATAGTAGATTTTCTCATTAATGATTCGATTTCTACTTTTGCTTCAGCCCGCGATTTTTCTTTATTTTCTTTATTTTCAGACAAGTTTATTTTCTTCAGGCCGCTGCGATCGAACATTTTTATCTATCCGCCCTTTATTTTGATTGAACTTGTTTTCTTCAGGTTCTTCTTTCGGTTTAATTTGATTCTGGAAGTAGATAAGGCAATTTCCTTTTTATCTTAACTTGTATTTTATTTATGGGTTTAATCGCTTTGGGATGAAGCGATCGAATAATACTTGACACCAGGGTGGTGGTGGATGTTTAATTGTACGCATCAGGACTCCCTACCGCACTTATTGTGCCACTAATAATTGATACGATTTTTTAATTACGATTTTCGTTAAATTCTATTTTGGTAGTAATGATTCCAATCTCTATTTAAAGATATCATATGTTATCGCATGGTTTATTAAGTCAACAAAACGAGAAACAAGAAAAGAGCATAAAGAATTATAAAGTTGACAATTTCTTTCGGCACGATTAGCCCATGCTAATAAAGAATCGTTAGTGGAACTTATCATTGTAATAAACGATTGATGTCGAACTACAACCAGAAATTTCACAAGGTACGTCGTTAATCAATAATCGCATTGTAATTCTTTTAAAATCTCCGATTTTTACGGTTATCGGTCTCACAAACATGGGATATCGCTAAAGCTTCTTTCGTCATGATGATAGAAAAGCGGATCAATACGTGTTAAAAGATTGGAATTAATAAGATGAAACCAAAATACGACGTATCAAAAAAAAAAAAAAATTAAAGAATATTTATTACTAATCATTGCTCAATTGACGAAAAAAAATTCTCTATGTATAAAAAAAAATCATATTTTAAGTTTTTGTTTTTGTTTTATGGAAAGTTAATGAAGAACCAGTAGAAGGCATTCTCTTGGACGTCAAGTAGTGAATCGGTTGGTCTACTATTTTCTTTCTCGGACATTTCGGATCTGTAGAATATAAAGGAAAGAAGAAGTTAGAGGAAAGTATTGGAAAGTGAAGGACAGAATAATTGAATATACTAATGTCAACAATGGAATTCAAAGGTTATGTTGATTCCTCAGAAAGCGTGTGAAAAGAAACCAACTACTCGAAGGAAACTTTCATGTGTAAGGCAAACACTTCTAAGAGGATAGAAACTTAGCTTAATACAAATGATGGCGTCGAATATGCTTCTTCTTTTGAAACTAAAACCTTTTACTAACCACATGATTAATCAAAAGTAGTTTAAGGGATGTGGGACACGACCGGATAGACAGAAACTAAAGAGCAGTGAACATTATTTAACTTACACATGGCCCTTTAGCACCCGCCTAGACATCGTTAAGGAGTAATAAACAAAATAATAAAAAAGATACTTCTCATAAAATTAAGTATTCGCCATTATATAATTTAATGGTAGTACGTGCACCAGCCTCCTATATTTTAACCGTGAAAAGTTAAGAATCTATTACCTGCTGCTGAAATTTCTATTATTAAATGATAAAAAAAAAAACAGAAAAAAATGTTAGAATTAAGATCTAAGTATTCATACGAGTAAGGAATTCTTGCTTAGGCGAATTGGAGTCAGATCTTAAGAGTCAATGTATTAAAGGAACGACCACGTAAAGATAATTTTACTTAACAATACGTTATAGCACTGGGGTAATACTTGTCTATAGAAATGAACATCCCGGGTATCCGAATCAGTAGGTCAACCAACATTATTTTAGGTATGAGTAGTACGAGGATAAATAAGTTTTACTTGAGTTTGAAAGCTTTTATTATAAAAATAATGATGAAATACCTCCCATATCTATTATTACTTAATTTAGTAAGTATTAAAAAATTTAACCAACTAGAGAATGATCTCAGTTAGTGAGTCATCAATGAGAGTTTTCACGTCGCAGTGAAATTTAGGAAATTTTACTTTTTTTTTTTTAATAAAAAAGAAAAAAAGGAAAAAAAAGAATCCGGATTAGGGGCTTATAACAAATTGGATTCAGGAAACTTGTTTCTGAAAATAAAATTTTTATCTCGTAAATTATTTAAATAGGCCAATTCATTTTACCTTTTTTTCTTTAAGATTATCCAAAAATCGATTTTTTACTGCATTCATAATGTGGGAGTTTTGCTATTAAATCGAGTTACGAACATAGCAAAAGTCCCATATTATTGTTAAAACCATTTTTTTTTTACTCGAAATTCATAAATTACTTCGATTAAATATCGTAAGGAATATAAAAGTCGCTCATCTGAGTGCCGTAGTTATTTGAAAGAATAAAATTACATTTTGTAAATTTTTTTGTTTTTAGAATAAATTTAATATCTAATAAGTTATACGTTCAAAGTATTTACCAAATGTTTTATTTGTTTATTAAATTTCAAAATTTATTTAATAATTGATTCGTCAAACGATTGTATAATTAAAGAATTTACGTAAAAATAAAATTAAAAATTAAAAAATAAAACTAAATAAAAATAATTAAATTTTCAATTTTAGCTCAGGATTTCCTTTTACAGTTGATAAATTTATTATAAAAATAAATAAAAGCGATTAAATTAGAATTCGATATGTTCAATTAAAGGATTATTTTTAACCAATGTCACCACTATAAAAAATTACATGAATATCCCGAATATTTATTTTTCGTTATCATTTAAAATTAAATTATATAAATTTATTATATTTCAATTATAAATACATATTTGTTTCCCTCCTATAAATGTCCATATCCCATCCATCCTTAATTAAAAAATTAAAAAATAAAAATAAATTAGAAATTATTCAAAAAATCAAAAACCAAAAATTAAATTAAATTCAAGGAAGAATTTAAATCTATACCATAATATCCTCCTCGCTCCCGAGTTTCTTTCTTCAAATTCCAATCTCCATACCGTTCCGTTCCGTCCGTCCATCCTTCCTTCCGCCGCTTGAGAATTTTTATTAGAAAATTTTCAATTAGCATAATCAAATTAGTTTCAAAAAAAAATTTTTAATAAAAATACACACTAACCGTAATATCCTCGTTTCTTTCTTCGGATTCTGCCGTTCCGTCCATCCGTCCGTCCTCCGCTTGAGAATTTTTATTAAAAAATTTTTCATAAAAAATACACACCAGGACACCGAGGTTATCCCACGATATATTTTCACCGCCTAAATCAGACTGGTCGCTTGGAACATAAACGAAACCATCTCCGGTATCAGTAGACCTCGCCTCACAACCAGTCTGGAGAGTTTCGTAATAGAGAAGTTTTTCATATTATATATGGTCCCAAAAAAATACTTATAAAAATAAACTTCAGAAAAGAAAGTAATGCATTTTTAAAAAACTCAATAAAAAAATACATACCGGGGATAATATATATACTGTATAAGGGAAGGGAGGGGTAAAGGAAAAATTGAAATTTTTTGAGAGGTGAAGTGAAATATATAAGGAAAGGTAAAGGAAAAAATGTTGTAAGTTTTTGGAGAAAGTTAAAATTTTTAAGAGGTGAGGTGGAGACGAATTTCTAAAAATAATTATTGAGAAACGTTATTTTTTATTGAATACAACTTATCACGTGATTACTTTTTAAAAATATATTATGTGTTTGTTATTCTTTATTGTTACAACTGGAATTTCTAAAATAAATTATTGAGAGACGCGTTATTAATTATTATTTTAAACCGAACAGTAGTATATATATTTTCATTCAAAAAGTAGATTCGATTTTAAAATCCTAAAATACGTCACCGCAAACATTTGCATTTTTTTTGTTGTGCTACCAAAAGGAAATTTATGGATTTTTTTAAAAGTTGCTAGCCCCGTCCTCTTTCCTCTACTTCATTTTCTTTTTTCGTAACCTTTATTTTTTATCTTGTCAAACAAGATTATGAAAATTAACGAATTTTATGTTATAATGAACTTGTGATTTTTACATATTTGTTAATACGGAGTATCCTT